AAAATTGGGTATGCCAGATTCACGCAGCATACGACATGTGGCAAAAAGGCAAATAAAAAGGTGTTCTGAGCAGCTTTTCAATAGTTCTTGAGTTCCTGAAAAGGGGAAAAAAGTTCTGCAAAATTACGTCAAAAAAACACTTTTTTCGAAAAAGTCGAAAATGTAAAAATATTGAAAAAAATAAAAATTAAATCTGTTCTGAGTAGCTTTTCAATAGTTCTAGAGTTCCTGAGAAGGAGAAAGAAAGTTCTGCAAAATGACGCCGAAAAAACATTTTTTTCGAAAAAGTCGAAAAAGTTAAATTTTTCAAAAGTAGATTTTCAAAAGTTCTATAGTTCTTGAAAGAAAAACCATTTCTGCAAAATTACGGAACAAAATTTTTATTCAAAAAATTATACTTCACAGTAGGTAAATTGTAAGGTTTTGAAATATCACAGCTAAACGGCCAAACACGTAAACTTGATTTTGGCCTCTAGATTACGATGGCGTTTTCAGAAAATCCGTATCACGTCTAAATTTTTAGATATTTAGGGGGGAAGTTTTACAGTTCTGAAAGTGAATTTTTCGTCGTTTAAAACACTGTGCTCAGGCTTAAAATTTTTTCTGGGCAAAGGTTTTGATAACTGATCTTACTTAACTGGGATCTTTTAAATTCAATGGCGTCCTCCATTTTTCCAGATTGGCTCTAGTTTTCGAGATAACAGTGCTTGAAAATCTGCTTAAATTTTAGGTTTTTTGTTAATAATTACCTCAGTTTTAAGGTTATTTTACTAAAATTTTGCACGTGACCGTATTTTGAGCTATTTCTGAAAATCATGGAAATGGGTTCACTATAACATATAGCTCCCATACAACTGATTGTTCGATATGTATGTGGTTTTGCGTTAGAACTAATATTTTATTTCGTAATATTTTTTTATAATATTCGTTTATATACTTTTTGGACCTAAATTTGGGTTCTTTTCAATCCCGTTTTGGCATATTTTGCTAGTTTCTATTGCTCGAATGATTTTTTTAATATCCTTTGCCTCCTGCGATCGACCAGCAAAAGTCCGCCAACATTGAATTCAATTGTTTTCCAGCGAATCAGTCCTCAACACACATAATGGATTGGTGAAATCTCTCTCCTACCTCGTCGGTTTCTGTTGAAAGCTGTTGCTCGTAAAAGTCAAAGTGACTGTGTAGCATGTGGATTTTAAGCGACATGTGCACATCAAAGGCGTCAAAAGATTCCATCAAGTTCGCAATAAAAATGGCATATTCTGGTGAACGATTTTTACACAGAACGTGTTTAATTAAAGCCCGAACTGCATCCCATGCAACGGCTGCTGTGCCATCAAGAATTTCCAAGAAGCCTTGATCCTTCATTAATCTTCTGATGTCCGGCCCATTAAGCACACCTGAAATAAAAATTATAGGGTTCTTAAATCAAGAGAGAGATATAATAAAATATATGAGCGAAAATCTCTCAAATGGGCCACCCAAAATTGGACGGTCAAGATATTTTCGCACAAATCACTTTATTCGGTTTACAACCACTTGAGAGATTTTCACTCATATACAATCAAAAAACTACCTTCACGGATTTTTTCAACGGAAAGTTTTGGAAAGGCATTATTTTTCAAATATAGGAATGCAGTTTCGTTGACTCTAACCAACTGTTTGATGTAATTCTTAACAACACCAAGTTTGATATGTAAATCGGGAAGCATGATTTTATTAAGCGCTATCAAGGGCTCGTGAACTATATTGAATTGACCAATCGATTGTTCCTTTCTTTTTGGCCAATCGCATTTGGTATAGTGATTGCATTTGGCTCTACTATCCCAATGACAGAACAAACAACAGTATTTAGTGTAGCCCGTTTGCATGCCTGATAGTAGTGAGAGAACTTTAAAATCACATTTCACGCGCCACCTGTGCTCTTCATACTTGATGCAATCTAAGATAATTTGCATTGTTTCGTATGATTCCTTTATTCCAACCGCATACAAGATGGGAACGGGTTTCTTGCTACTATTGCGATAGAGCAAGACTGCTTTCAAACTTCGCTTTGATGCGTCAATAAAGAGACGCCATTGTTCGGGTTTATAGTCAGTAATTCCCATTTCATTCATCAAACCTGCAACATCAATGCAATAAGCCTGAGTGCCATCTTCCGATAACTTGAAATATGGCATAAACGGATCTTGTCTATGTTTGTAGGCCGTTACTTTTACTCCTGGTGCTAAAACATTCACGCTTTTCAGTTCCGATGCCAAAATCATTGCGTTGTTATGGGAGAGATTTAATTTACGCACCATGCTGTTTAGGTGTTCTTGGGATATGAAAGACGGTAAATTGTTTTCAATCGGAATGTAATCAGATCCATCATCAAGTGGTAATGGCGTTGCCATAGACTGTTTGCAATCATAGACAGTTTCGAGTTCGGATGGATGATTTGGAACTTGTAATGCATCACTATGTGCAACAGGTAAATGAGCGCTCGGTACACCTTTGTAGACGACACAAGACCGATCTATTGAATTAAATATTTATGAGTATATGTACGTACATATATATGCATATATCGATGGCTGAGTGGAAGATCGACCTATCTCAGCTGCCGATTTAAAAACGCCCTATCTCAGCACATTTTCAATGTATTTTGAGATAGGGCGTTCTTCAACAAAATTCTGAGATAGGATGTTTTTCAATAAAATTCTGAAATAGTAAGTTCTTCAATCAAATTCTGAAGAAGGGCGTTGTTGAAAAGTTTTCTGAGAAAGGGCGTTTTCGAACTGGCTGCCGAGATAGGTAGATCTTCCACTCAGCCATCGATATACAAATGTTAAGTTTGTTTGTTCGGCGGACAAAAACTAAACAAGTTCTGCACCACTTTTTTTTTTTAATTTGGACATCTGCTGCAGACTTTCCAAGGTTGGTTATACTTAGGCGTGGTACCTTCCAAACATACAGAAACTTTTACCTATTTCATACACTCAGCGATTAAGGTGAGGGCAAACTATACATAATTTCATGGTTTTATTTAAATTTACTTACTTTTTCGATTGAAACCAAATGTATTTTTGGTGCATGCATAACAATTTTCAGCTTCATGTTTTCCGGGATTTGTCCAAATCATTGGTAAACCGAATGGTAACGAAAATCGTTTTTTTGTCGACCAAAAATTCATCGCACTAATGCACGAAATACATGTGAATTCGGGAGTGTATTTATTTTGTGCAGGTTCAGATTGCAAAAGGTACCATTTATAGCATGCTAGTGCATTTTTATTTGAGACTAATTTACGCTGGTCTGATTTCAAAACGAATTTACCACAAACGAAACAAAACTTTTTGAATTTATTGCAAAGCTTTTTAATTCTTTTCATTTTTAGGAGTTTCCGAAGACAATGATATGATGAATAAAAGTTTTTCGCAAAATTTTTTGGTTCCCAACTTATGTGAAATAGACGCGGTATAGACCGCCGCCTATTTGAAAGCATTACTCAGTCACTTTGACTTTCACGAACAACAGCTTTCACAGTGCAAAAAAGGTATTAAAAAGCCATTCGTACAACAGAATCTGCAAAAATGTGCCAGAGTGGGATTGAAAAGAACCCAAATTCAGGTCCAAGCAGTGTATAAACTACTATTATAATAAATATTACGAAATAAAATATGAGTTTTAACGCAAAACCACATATCTGAACAATCAGTTGTATGGGAGCTATATGTTATAGTGAACCGATTTCCATTATTTTCAGAAATAACTAAGGTAATATCAAAATACAGTCACGTGCAAAATTTTAGTAAAATAACCTTAAAACTGAGGTAATTATTAACAAAAAACCTAAAATTTAAGCAGATTTTCAAACACCGTTATCTCGAAAACTAGAGCCAATCTTGAAAAACGGAGGACGCCATTGAATTTAAAAGATCCCAGTTAAGTAAGATCAGTTATCAAAACCTTTGCCTGGAAAAAAATTCAAAACCTGAGCACAGTGTTTTAACCGACGAAAAGTTCACTTTCAAAACTCTAAAACTTCCCCCCTAAATATCTAAAAATTTTGACGTGCTACGGATTTTCTGAAGACGCCATCGTAATCTAGAGGCCAAAATTAAGTTTACGTATCTGGCCGTTTAGCTGTGATATTTTTGCCTCCCTACTGTGTTATGTTTCATTTCAGAATTTGTATTCTTTTATATACACAACCATACTTGGGCTAACGATTTCGCTTTCTTCAACATGAGATCTTTTTTTTT